TACCTTCTCTTTTTCTTTCTCTTCCTTGCCCCAGAGGTGTTCATGCTCCTGAATTCTGTTTCTTGTTCCTGGTTTTTCAATTTTACCACATATGCATGTGCCACAGCTGACATGCTGTGTCATTTTGCATCTTTTTAAAGTTAATATATTAGTCATGCCACATGTATCATTCTGTGACTTGCTTTTATGATTCAGTCTTATGTTTTCGAGATGAATTCATGTTAATAGTTGTAGCTGTAGTTTATTAGTTTTCATTGCCGGATAGTTGATCATTATGTGAATACACCACAAATTATTTATACATTGTACCTCGATTTTTTTTGTTTTTTGTTTTGTTTTGTTTCTGTTTTTTTTTTTTTTTTTGCTATTCACGCTCCTTTCTTTATGGACCATTTATTCCTGTATGGCTTCTTATCGTGAGGATTATAATGGTCTTTTTTGTTTTTTCACTTGACCTCATTCTGGGCCCTACTAATTCTTTCATTCTCATTGCACCGGTATTTTTCCACAGAATCTCTTTGAAGAAAGCTGCCATAGGCTATCAAGGAATGTTAATTTTGTAAGAAGATAAGGGGCCCCTCATTTTTCAAGAGATTTTAAATATCATTAATTAAAATAATAACAAGAGTGAAACACTTCCTGTGACTTCAATATTCCTAACTTACTCTACAAAAATACCTTATTAATTTTAATTGATCATATTCTAAAAAGTATAATATTACTCAAATTACATTCCTGAAAAGTCACAAAAGAATGTTGTGTCAAGTGAATGTACATGGTCAGTAAGGGCCGGTGGTACTTAGAAGGCAGAATACTGCTTCTTATCACTGGGACCTCCAACTCTTGAACTTTAACCAGCAGAATCAGTTCAAGTTAGCCCCCTCAGGTTAAATACTGACAATCACAGCTGCAGAAATGTGAAATACTATGCCCTTCGCCTATGGCTAACCGCAGTGGGTATCCAGATGGTCACATTATGCACACTACCACAGAGGGCCTGGAGATGAGCCACTATAATGCATGGCAGTACTATAGTACTGTAGTTTCCTGGGACAATATATATATATATTTTCAATTTCTTCTTTTGAGCAATTAACCTTTTACTTCATTGTTGAATTGGATCTTTCAAATAATTTCAACAAAATGTTACACTAGTCATGAAGTTTTTAGGTTGGCCAATCAGAGACTTAAATGTACAGGGTTAATTTGCGTGATATCATAAGTGTGCTAAAAGACCTTCTAAAAAGTTAGTTTTCTAAGAAAAGAGCTAAGTAAGACCCATATGTTAGTCAAAAATGTGCCTTCATTTTTTCATTTATTACCTGTAATAATAAGCATTTATTGAACATTTATTCTGTGCCAAGGACTGATCTAAGTGTTTGCTATATATTTACTAATTTAATACTTCTTCAAACTCTATAAGGGAGGCAAGAAGTTTTTACCGCTGCATTTTACAGATGAGGGAACTAAAACACAGGGGATCTTGTCTACATTCACACAATTTAATAAGGGATTATTATAATTTTGTATAGAGTTTTATAGTAAACTCACATGTTGAATTATTAATTCATAGATCCATATGTTGAAACCTCACCCCCCCCCCCGCAGAATATGATTTTATTTGGGAATAGGTTCATTATGGCTATAATTAGTTAAATTAAGATGAGGTCATATTAGAGTAATGTGGGTCATTAATCCAATATGACTAGTGTCCTTATAAAGAGGGGAAATTTGGACACAGATATGCATACAAGTAGGGGGCCATGGGAAGGTGAAGGCAGAGATGGAACAGATGCTCCTACAAGCCAAGGATGCCAAAAATTGCCAGCAGAACGATCCGGAAAACAGATTCTCCCTTACAGTCTTCAGAAGGAAACAAGTCTGCTGACGTTTTGATCTCAGACTTCTCTGGCCTCCAGAACTGTGAAAATAAACTTCCTTTAAAAATTTTTAAAAAATATTTATTTATTTTTGAGAGAGAGAGAGAGAGAGAGAGGGTGAGCAGGGGAGGGGCAGAGAGAGGAAGACACAGAGAGGAAGTGAGTTCCAGGCTCTGTGCTGTCAGCACAGAAATCACGAACTGTGAGATCATGACCTGAGCTGAGCTGGGAGGCTTAGCTGACTGAGCCACCTAGGGGCCCCTAAACTTCTTCTTTTTTTTCTTTTTTTTTCCAAAAGCACTGTTTTTTATTTATACAGAGTCCTAACCACTTTAGCGGCAGGAGTGGGAGAGGTTCCTTTTTCAATCCAGGGGCCTCCATAATGTTGGTCTGTTGTTACCAAACACACAGGCAAGTGGCGTCATGGATCTGGTAAACTAACTACATACAATGTTTAGTCTCTTCTGCTAGAGCAACAAGGTGAGCATCAATCTCTGCTTCTGTAAGAATCCTGAATTTAGGATTTTCAACTGTAACTACTCCAACTTCTATTTCTGAAGGTTTGAAATCAATTGATAGAACAGTAGATAGGCATGTAATTGCAGTTTCCATTGTCTGTTCAAACATCCAATCAAATTTCTTCTTCACTTTTTTTTCAAGGAAGCTGGTTGACTCCGTTTGTTTAACTCCTGCTGCAGTGGCTCTAAACCCATAGTAGTAACCTGCAGGGTCACACTTGTACACTTGTTCTTCATTTATACCGATTAAAATCATACGACAACCAAGAGGCCTCATTTCAGCATTCTGTGTGTAGACCTGAGAAATATCAGCAATTCTTTTGCACAGCATATCCACAGGAATCTCATAGCCATACTTGTACTTCCAGTTAGCTGCCTCGCAGTGCGCCCTCTGTACCTGGGGTCTGCTGTCCGCTGTCATTCCTGTCACCACACAGCCAATGTTTTCAGTTATCTTGAATAAGTGAGTAACTGTGGTAGAATCCAATAATTTGTCAGGTACTTTCTTCTATGTGACTTTTACTGCAAAGTCTTTCCCTCTGACTGCTACCGATGTAAGGCCACCCTGGTTAATAGCCTGAAAAGCATACTCGTGTTGTACCATGTTGCACTGTAATTTTTTTTTCTTTACAAGTAGTTTATTGTCAAATTAGTTTCCACATAACACCCAGTGCTCATCCCCACAAGTTCCCTCCTCCATGCCCATCCCCCCCCCCACATCCATCAGTCCTCAGTTTTTGTCAGCATTCAAGAGTCTCTCATGGTTTGCCTCTCTCCCTTTCCCCCACCATTCCCCCCCTTCTTCTCCCCCTTGGTCCTCTGTTAAGTTCCTCCCAATCCTCCTATACGTGCAAACATGATTTTTGTCCTTCTCTGCCTGACTTATTTCGCTCAGCATAACACCCTTAAGGTCCATCCATGTTGCTACACATGGCCAGATTTCATTGTTTCTCATTGCCATGTAGTATTCCATGGTATAGATAAACCACATCTTCTGGATCCATTCATCCGTTGATGGACACTTAGGCTCTTTCCATGTTTTAGCTATTGTTGCGAGTGCTGCTATGAACATTGGGGTACACGTGCTCCTATGCATCAGCATTTCTATATCCTGTGGGTAAATTCCTAGCAGTGCTATTGCTGGGTCATAGGGGAGTTCTATTGTTAGTTTCCTGAGGAACCTCCACACTGTATTCCAAAGGGGCTGTACCAGTTTACATTCCCACCAACAGTGTAGGAGGGTGGGGCCCCTAAACTGCTGTGGTTTAAGCCACTCAGTCTGTGGTACTTTGGTAACCTAGCCCTCAAAAACTAATACGGGGTGGAGTCGGCACCAAACCCAGGCAGGAAGGCTGCAAGATTGGTATGCTTATCACCTCACTCTCTGCCTCTCCCATAATAGAACTAATCAGAATAAAAGCAGACACTAAGGCCTGGAGAAATTAATGGCACAGGAATTCCCAGCTCGCAAATCTAGGCAGAGAAACAAAACACTGACTACCCCTTTCCCGTGTCTGTACCATGTTACCTGGAGCCTCTGCTTTTCTACCTCAAGTTAAGGGACTTTCAGGAGTGGCTCTAGCCAGACATTTGTCATAGATCTACAAGTCTAAATCTACTCAGCCCACTTACGGACTCTGAGCCTGTGCCCCTACTCAGCTTCAAAATCCAAAGCTTTAGGGCACCTGTGGGGCTCAGTTGTTAAGCATCTGACTCTTGATTTTGGCTCAGGTCATGTTCTCACCTTTGTGATCGCACCTTTTGAGGGATGGAGCCTATGAAGGGCTCTGTGCTGTCAGCTTGGGACAGCTTGGGCCCTGCTTGGGATTTTCTCTCCCCCACCCCTCTCTTTGCCCCTCCCAGCTTATCTGTCTCTCTCTCAAAATAAATAAATAAACAAAAAAAAAATCCAAAACTTTAATAGATTTTTGAAAGCAGCACCAGCATTCTGAGGTTAGTATTATCCACATTTGTGCTGTTTTCTTTGGGTTAAAATGAAAAGGATGTGTCCTACATGTGATAGTAGGAACAATGCCCTCCCGCCCAGTAGTCATATTAAGCTATGTAACAGTAGTGTATTCAGTACGACAAGATAAGGAAAAGGCTGTACAGATGGTTGGGCGACCTGACACCTGCCCAGGACAGGTATCTTTGCAGATTACATGGAACTGTGAGCAAGCTCTAGGCTCGGGCCCACAAGTCCTGAAATTAGGGGAGCTTTGAGACCGAAGGGGAACAGGACCCAGACCCATGCCACATGCCAGCAGCCGGTGTGCCTCTTTGCCCAGGTGCAGGGTTTGGGAGGTCACGGTCAGGGTCAGGGTCAGGCATGGACACTCGTGGAGGCCGGACTGGAGCACTATCCTTCCCAGTGGGGGGATGGCCGTGAGGGTGTCGAGCTTCTTCTGTGGCTCTGGACGTGGGCGCCTCTCTTGGCCAGCGCAGTACACTTCGGCACGACCAGCAGCGGCGGTGTTTTTAGCTAGCTCTGCAAACCGGGGAAGGCCGGGCAGGTGGGCGCGTTGGGTGGGTCCCGGGCTGCGATTCCCCTGCAGGCACTCGGCCGGGGAAGGGGAAGAGGCCGGGGAGGGGAGCCTGGTGGCCGCGGCCCGGGCCGCCCACGGGGCTCGCTGCGCGCCAGCTTTCTTTAAGCGCCCTGGGGCCACGCGGGGCCGAGAGCACAGCCCCCGCCCCGCTGGCGGCCGCCCACCGCAGGCACTTCTGAGAGGAGAGAAGGACGGACGGACGGAGGGAGGGGCGACCTACTTCCTGAACCGCCTGCACACCCGGGGCGCGAGCTCGGCCTGCCCGGCGCCGCGATGTCCGGAGGGTCAGCCAGGAGCCTAGCGAAAGGTGAGGCTGGCCGGCTGCGAGAGGCGGGGGGAATCTCGGCCTCCCCCAGCCGCGTGTCCCGGGGTGGCTGTTCCGGAGCCACCCAGGGGGGGCCCGCGCACGCGGCGATCGGGCCGGGGCCACCGCGCGCGGGACCTCTCCGCGGCCTGGCCCGGGGGTGGCGGGAGGTTGGGAATCCCGGCCGCTCTCAGGGCCGTGACCGCCCTAACCGCCGCCGCGTCTCCCCCGCAGGAAGCGCGCCCCCGGGGCCAGTCCCCGAGGGCCTGATCCGCGTCTACAGCATGAGGTTCTGCCCGTTCGCCCAGAGGACGCTCCTGGTCCTGAAGGCCAAGGGAATCGGGTGAGGACCCAGGCAGGGGTAGTTCCCCCAGCCGCTCCGGGGACCAATGCTGCGGGGCGGCGGGGTGGGAATCTCGGGTTGGGCCCCCAGGGCTTTCTTTCCTGCAAAATAAACTGTTATCAGACTTTTAGGGGACAGAGCAAATTAGGAACCCACTTCCCAGAGTGAGAGGTAGGGGGAATGCCACAGATTACACCAGTCTAGGACACCCCATTTAGATCAACCTATTTTATGGATTAGAAAAGCTGAGGCTCTGGTAAAGTTGGTGGTAAGGGAGATCACTTGACAGGTAAGGACCAGTAGCAGCTCTTTTAGCCCTGGTAGAGCCCTGATTCCTGGTCCACTGCCCTTTCGCTTTCACCCCACTTCTACATTCATGTCTTATCTAATAGTTTGCTGGTATCTTGAGTATATAATCCCTTCCTTAATAGTCGGTAATTTATCCCTGTACACGGCCTTGACCATCCAGCAGAGTGCTGAGTTAACTATACTGTACATACTCCTATAGATTGGGTTGTTGGTTAAGTCAAAGTGTCTATGCCTAAAATTTCAGGCTTTTGTAAAGCCTCTTTGAAATTAGCATGGTTTTTTTGACCAATGGGTTATCCATAGGAAGTATGCAATAGTCACTTGGCTCCTGAAACCAAATAGCCATTGGAATCCCCTCCCTTCCAGTGATCTTTGGAATTTATTGAGCAGACATTAAATACCTGTGGTATAGAAGTTCAAAACATAGTCCCCATTCTTTAGAAATTTTCTATCCATGTGCTTAAGATTTATAAACTAATTGTAGTCTTCTAGGAGGAGAATTAGGCAGACAATAATTTTCCCTAAAAGAACTTAAGATGCATTCTTTTCCTGAAGAAAAAAATATTAAAAAAAATTTAATGTTTATTTTTGAGAAGGAGACAGAGTGTGAGCAGGGGAGGGGTAGAGAGAGAGGGAGACACAGAATCTGAAGCAGGCTCCAGGCTCTGAGCTGTCAGCACAGAGGGGCTCAAACTCACAAACGGTGAGATCATGACCTGAGCTGAAGTGGGATGCCTAACCAACTGAGCCATTCAGAAGCCCCAAAATATTTTTGAATTAGCCATGACTTCACTAAAATTTACATTGTATTTGGACGAAACTGATTCTGTACACTTAGCAAAATGCTCAACATTCAATAACATTTATCCAAAACATTGTATTTTATCCTAATCTTATTCAAATTGGATTAAAAAAAGATGTATCTTGTCCTTGTGCAATTGAAGAGTATAGGGACACCTGGGTGGCTCAGTTAGTTGAGTGTCTGACTTCAGCTCTGGTCATGATTTACAGTCAGTGAGTTCAAGCCCCACATTGGGCTCTGTGCATCCAGCTCAAAGCCTGGAGCCTGTTTTGGATCCTGTGTTTCCCTCTCTCTCTCTCTGCCCCTCCCCACTCACGCTCTGTCTCTGTCTCTCAAAACTGAATAAACGTTAAAAAATTAAAAAAGAAAAGTATAGGAGCAAGGCAGGTGCATAACACCCTACTTTATTTACTGGGAGAGTTTTCCAAAGGAAAATTGAAATGATTTTATCAAAATAGTGTGTATATGGGGATAAAGAATGGTAACAGCAGACAACAGAGGTCTTCTACCTTCATGGATCAGTTTCACACCCAGAAGACTTTTATTGGACAAGTGCTACACTGTCTCATGGTATAGCCTGACAAAGCATGGTTTTCTCTGAAAAGTACATCTTCCAACTTGCTGTGGCAGGTGTGTTGACTTGTTGGCTCATAATGTCAGGTTGACAAATGCAAGTGTGTTCTAAGAACCTTCTTTATCACAAAAAACCCCAGGTTCTGCCTTTTGTTTTCATGGTATAAAATTTCAGACGTGTTGATAATTCCTTGGCAGGGAGCTGGCTTTATGTTTCTTTTGATGGCTTGTATCTGTGTCCAGTAATCTGTTAGAACACAAACCTGTTGATACACAAATGCTAGGTTCAGTGTAGCCATTTCTGTTTCCATGGGGGATTACATATTTAAATCCTGAAACTAAATACGATTCTAACTTCTGAGGTGGATGGGGAAGTAGGAAACAAAATGTGTTGGTGTATATTATTTTTGAGTAACTAACCTGTTCTGTTGAATAATTACCTAGATTTAACAATTATATGAAACGTCCCTTTCTCTTATTTCCTCTACAATCTCTCAGTCAAGAAACAAGTTACATCTAATTACAGTCTGACTATAGCTTGGATTTCATCTGTTTTCTTCCTTTTGGGTTTGCTTCCTGTGGTTTACTCACGTAACATTAAAAAAAATAACAATGCATAGACATTTAATCTGAAACTTTGTTTTGTGGGTGGATTTTTTGGATTCCTTAATTTTTTTTTAATGAGAAATTTTCTACTCAATTTAGCAAAAGGAATTGAATTTTATCATGTTGATTCTCAAATGGTAGGTAGTGGATACAATTCATTTATTTACCTCCTATGATTTGCAATGATAATACCTCATACCCCAAAGTGGATTATCTTATTGACAATCTTGAAGCATTTTCTATTCATTCTTTCAATAAATATTTACTGAGTACCCTATCTGAAACCATTTTAATTTTCATAGCATTCAAAAAAAATTTTTTTTTAGTATTTTATTTATTTCTGAGAGAGAGAGACAGACAGCATGAACAAGGTAGGGTCAGAGAGAGAGGGAGACACAGAATCTGAAACAGGCTTCAGGCTCTGAGCCAGCTAACCGACTGAGCCACCCAGGCGCCCCGTTTTGTAACTAATTTTCATAGTATTTAAATGTTTAAAATTTTGCTCACTTACATGTTTGTTTGTTAATATGAACTAGATACACAAAATCCCTGCTTTCATAGAGCTTACATTCTAGGGAGGTGACATAATAAACATATACGTAAGGGGGCAAAGTAATTTCAGATACATGTCATCAGTAAAACAGGATGATCATGTAATAGAGGATCTTGACAGGTTCAGAGAGGATGGCCAGGTTGTAATGACCAGAGGGAAAGTCGTAGGAAACAGGTGTGACAGGTAAGAATGGGTCAGATCTCATGCCAGGGGGGTTTAGAGTTTATGCTCATCGCAATGAAGAGCAATCAAGGAGTGGCAAGCAGGAGGGGGGCCTGATCCAGTTTACTTGTGCGTGTGGAAAATGGACCGCAGGGAGGGCACAGTGGAAGCAGAGAGGCCAGTGGGAGACTCCTGTAGTGATCCAGCTGGCAGATGATGTTTTGATTTCTTTATTTATTTATTTATTTTTTTTAAAGAATGGTTTATTAAATTTTTTTAATGTTTTATTTATTTCTAGGAGAGAGAGAGATACAGCGTGAGCAGGGGAGGGTCAGAGAGAGAGGGAGTCACAGACTGAAACAGGCTCCAGGCTCTGAGCTGTCAGTCAGCACAGAGCCCGACGCGGGGCTCGAACCCACGAACCGCGAGATCATGACCTAAGCGAAAGTCGGACGCTTAACCGACTAAGCCACCCAGGCGCCCCTGATTTCTTTAAATGTTTTATTTATTTCTGAGACAGAGAGACAGAATCCGAAACAGGCTCCAGGCTCTGAGCTAGCTGTCAGCACAGAGCCTGACGTGGGGCTCGAACCCACAAACCGTGAGATCATGACCTGAGCCGAAGTCAGATACTTAACCAACTGAGGCACCCAGGTGCCCTGGACAGATGATGTTTTGGACCAGATGGCCATGGGATAGCTGAAAAAAAGTGGATATGATTTTGAGGCTTAGCTGACAGGTCTTGATGATCCATTTGACTTGAGGCAGAGAGAGCAAGGGAGAAGGAATCAAGACTGATTTGATTCCTAAACTTGGGGTCCAATCAGCTGAGTGGATGGTAGGGCTCGTAAGGATTTACTCAGAAGTACAAAAAAAAAAAAAAAAAAAGTTCCACTGTCTCCATTGTCTTCTATGTGTCTTTCAGGCATGAAATCATCAACATCAACCTGAAAAATAAGCCTGAGTGGTTCTTTAAGAAGAACCCCTTGGGTCTGGTGCCAGTTCTGGAAAACAGTCAGGGTCAACTGATCTATGAATCCGCCATCACCTGTGAGTACCTTGATGAAGCATATCCAGGGAAGAAGCTGTTGCCAGATGACCCCTATGAGAAAGCTTGCCAAAAGATGGTCTTCGAGTTATTTTCTAAGGTGTGTGTATAAGAAATCTCAGCTCTTATTTGAACAAACTTTGTTGTTTAAGTTAAATCAGTGTTGTCACTTATGACTCAGTGATGTGGGAAAGGAAAACAGAGCAGTGCCCCTCTCTGGTCTGACAGGTCCGCAATTCCTTTTGCCATCCAGTTCTTGTTTACCTCTCCAATGTTAGCCCTCCTCACTCTTTGGACACCGTGTTCCAGCCATACTGAATATTTTTCCCAGACTCGCCACCTCCTTAACTCCCGCTGGAAGAGTCTTCTTCCCCCTTCCCACTTGGCATGGTTATCTTCAATTCCTCATTTATGCATTTGCTTAGGTTCTGCTGCCTTCCAGAAGCTTGTCTGCGCTGGCTTAGTGCCCAACCCCATGTTCCCTCATGTGCTAACTTCTCCCTGCCAGTGACTGCCCATCTTCTTCTCTGCCTATTGCACCAGGGCTGTGATCTCTTTGAAGGTGAGGCCGTGTTCCCATCACTGTTGGCTCATTGCCTAGGTCTGTGACCAACTTTGCCACTTCCTAGTTGTGTGACTCTGAGCAAGTTACACATTTACATCTGTGCCTGGGCTTATCGCTGGTAGAAGGAGTATAATAATTGCTCCCTTCCTGTAGATAAAAATCAGTATATAAAACACCTAGAGCAGAGTCTGACACATGGTAAATACTGTGTTAGCTCTTGGGGTTCTAGCCACAGTGTCTAGCAGCAGGCATCTACTATGTGTTGGCAGTAGCTCTCAGTGGACTGAGTAAATGGTATTCCTGTAGAACTATTTTAATCAGCATCAAGGTTATAGATAGTTCAAACAATTGATGTTAACAAAGATATGCCCAACACCAGACAACAAGAATAGCCATGTCACATTATCTCTATAGCCCTGTTATTTGTCAGGATATATGTCAGCATATCTTGTCTTCTTTTAAGTGGCTAAAGAAATACCTAGAAGGTGGAACTTATTGTGTAAAGAGACATTGCAAAGGGAAACCAATGGGGAAGGAAGACGGAGTTGTCTGGCTTAGAAGAATGAGAGGAAAATAGCACAGATACCTGCTGTCCAAGGCAAAAGACCGGGAATATGGCAATTACAGAAAGATGTTGGAGGAAAAAAGTAAAAAGAGATTCACTGTAGAGGCATCTGGCTGGCTCAGTGGTAGAGCATGAGACACTTGACCTCAGGGTTGTGAGTTCAAACCCCATTTTGGGTGTAGAGATTACCTTAAAAAAAAGAGAGATTCATTGTATTACCTCAAAAGAAAATAAGCTAATAGCTGGAGATGCCCACCGTTATTTCCCAGCTCACATTCAAGGAAAAGGTGGGCTTAGGTACCATATGCCCCCTTCCTCCTGGCCACAGCTCAGCAAACCAGAAATGCCCCCAACTGCACTCGCAGCCCAATCATCTTCTTTCCTGAGAACTTGAAACTGAGACACAGATTAACAGTAAAGGTGTTGAAGCTTTGGAGATGTGTGTGTGTGTGTATACATACACATATATATGTATATGTGTGTGTGTGTTTTATATATATATATATTTATATTTGGAGACTTAACAAACCAAAGGCATGTAAAAAATAAATTTTTTAAGGAAGCAGAAATTAAGAACATTGCAAAGGGATATCTTGATATATAGGAAACAATACGGAGCAGACGTTTAAGAAAAAGCAGGGATAAATAAACCACGCAGCCCCAGATGGAACTGTGGACAGAAGTGCTGCCAGCAAACTTTCAATTCCAATGAAGGCAAGCTGTACTGACATGGACGGGCTATCAGGACATTCTCCTGTATTTTTACAAGCACCTGTTGGTAAACTGAGAAGAGTGGACTCCTAGCTCTTGGAATGAGAAGACACACAAATGCCTCCAGCAGGAGCCCAAAAACATCTGGCACTACACCTGTGAGTCTTCAGGTAGTCAGCCCCTTCGAACACCCTTCTCATGTCCTCCCCAAGGTGGAAAGTTCTCTTACACAGCTCCCTTTGCAGCTGCGGCCAGTGCCTGGGACCTAAGCTCCTGTCAGAAACATACACGGTAGAGCTGGATGCAGAAATGAGCCACGGGGTGCTTGCTTCAACTGCATGTATATGAAGATTGGAACCATACATCCCCTGCATGAAGATGACCTGCAAATTCATGAAGTGTTCCATATGGGAAAAAAAAAAAAAAGTATTGGGGGGGTTGCTGGGTGGCTCAGTCAGTTAAGCTTGACTTTGGTTCAGGTCATGATCTCATGTGAGTTCGAACCCTGCATCGGGCTCTGTTCTGACAGCTCAGGGCCTGGAGCCTGCTTTAGATTCTTTGTCTCTGTCTCTCTCAAAATAAATAAACATTAAAAAAAATTTTTTAAGTAAAAAAAGAAGAAAGAAAGGAGCAACGTAGGGGGACAGGCTTGGGATGGGGCACTGGTTCTGCTGTGAGAGTGGCTGGCAGCAGAGCCCCCAGGCTTTCGGGAGCAGTGGCAGTTGCAAGATTAAATTCCGGGCTTTAATTATCTCCAAGTCAGATTTCTGACAGCGGCACAAACTGTAGCACCTAGTGCTCAGCTCACTGGCAGCAGTGGGCACTTCCCATCAGGTCAGTTCTGAGCATGATTTTGGAATGTTCGAGCTTTGTTGCCAGCCTCTTTTTCCCCCAGTCTCTCAATAATTCAATGAACCACTATTTTTTTTTTTAAGATATTTTTGGCTCAAACTCGCCAAAGTGGGTTCTACTATTTGCAACTTAAAAAATCCTGACCAGGGGTGCCTGGCTGGCTCAGTTGGTTGAGCATCTGACTTCAGCTCAGGTCATGATCTCACGGTTCTGGAGCCTGCTTCAGATTCTGTGTCTCCCTCTCTCTCTGACCCTCCCCTGCTCACGCTGTCCCTTTCTCTCTCAGAAATAAATTTAAAAAAACATTAATTTTTTTTTAATCCTGACCAACCTTACACTGCAAAGCTGTTTCTAAGATCACTACCTGACCTCTGTGAACACAGGAATCGGTGCACCTTTCAAGTTTCTCAAACACCCTGCACTGGGACTTTGAGGGCTCTATGAGGGGCCTGTACAGTTAGCCTCACACTGATAACTAAGAAATTACTCTCTGTCTAGGTTCCCCCTTTGGTAACACGCTTTGTTAGAAGACAAAATAACGAAGATGGCTCTGGCATAAAAGAAGAACTGCGTAAAGAATTCACCAAGTTAGAGGAGGTAATCTCTTCTCCTAGCTTTTATCAGAATAAATGATACACTGTATCTGCCCTTCTTCTTTCTTTCTTTCTACTCCATTTCCCAAATCACTTTGTGACAATTAGTAATAACATCAGGTAAGGAATTTTAGGTTACAACAGACTGCTATAAGCTGGTGCATTTAAGATAGAAATCAAAACATCTCAAAATATTTTGTCATGGCTTACTTTTAAAACAATTTGTTGCACTGAACTGATGTTAAAATAACAAGGGGGAAAATGCACTGGCATTTCCACAATTTGTCACCTGTTTTCATTTTTTCATACTTGTTTCTAGTCCTCATCCATATATTAAAAAAGAAAGAAAGAAGAAAAAGGTTAACATAACTGCAATCAAGGCATAGATACCAGTCTGTGTTTTTCCACTTAACAGTACATAATAAACCTTTCCCACCACAGAGTTTCCCATGAATTATAAAGACGCTTGGAGAAGCCTGGCTGAGTTTTTACCTCCCTTGGGGCAGAGCTGCCATTTGGGCCTTTACATCAAGTTTCTCTTGGCCTTGAGACATTCCATTTACTTGCTCAGCCTTGGGTTTTTATTGAGGAAAGTCATAATTCCTGTCTTGTATGGGAATGCATCCTGTATTTTGTCAGTATGAAGTTTGCTGTAGACTTTTTCGCAACTTTTTTTCATTAAGAAAAATATTACTAGTCTGCTAATTTTAAAAAAAAGTCATGCATGAGTATTAGGTTTTACTGAATGTTTTGTCTGTATCTATTACATCTGTTGATATGTTCATAGAATTTTTAACCTTTAATCTGATAAAATGGTGTTATTGACAGATGTTTCTGGTGTTAAACCATCCCAGTATTACTGAGATAAAACCTACTTGTTTTCAGTGGATTTTTCTATATATTCTAGAACTAGTTAATACTTAAGGGAGTTGCATATTATTAATGAGTATTAATGAGATTGGGCTATTATTTGTTTTCTTAGTACCTTTTTTATATCAAGAATATTCTAACCTGATAAAATGAGTTGGGTTAACTTCCCTGTATTTCTAACCTCAGAAACCATTTGATAGGGTTCGGCTATTTCTGCTTTTACTAACTAGGAGTTCAGTAGCTTAATGTAATTACTTTTAGTCTTTCTTGATTATTTAATGCATTAATGACTAATACACTACTTCTTAGCAGCATCCACTTAGTTTTACTATGAAGGACTTTCATCGTTCAGTTCTAAATTTTTTTTCTTTTTGCTGTTCCTATGATTTTCTCATTGCCTACCAATTATTGATCATGTACTTATAGGTTTCCTAAACTATATTTTTTTCTAATTTAATTACATTATGGTCAGAGAATGCATGTGTGATATTGTTTCTTTGAAGATTAAGACTTCTTTCGTGTCTGGCAACCTGGTAGAAACTATGAACCCCTTCTCAGAATGTTTTTAAATGCTTAAATTAAAATATGTAAGGTTAACCCTACTGTGGTTTGTTTCATAATGGAAATACCTGCTAACTATGGGGTTAGTGGAGTGGGGGGAAGGTATGTACATTTTTCTCATCTAAACTCAGACTCCAGATTAAGAACTCATGCTTTAAAAGGAGTAGTGCCATTTCCATGTTTTATGCTGCAGAGAGGGTTATTTCCTTCTGACTTAAACTGTCACACTAAATGTTATTTATGCATAATTTAATAATCAGACACTACAGTTTAAGGTCAGACCCAGTTAATATTGATTCATTGTACAATTCTGAGTGCCTAATAACTACAAGGCACTCTGGTGGACCATATGAGAGGTAGAAAGTAAGACGGGGTCTATACTCTTGAGACACTTTGGTAGTAGATGGTTTATATATGCCATCAATCTACAATGCAGACTGTTATATGGGCCCTGAGGAAAACTATAGTTTTATAAAAGGTAAGTTGGTTTGGTGTTAATTAGGCAGATTCTTAGTTCCTTTACTTGGGTAAAACCATTAATACCACGACATGTTCTTGAATTTTCAGGAACATACAACTGAAATAATTTTATTTGACATCTGTTTAATAGCTAATTCAGTTATTCCCAGTGTATTTTAGGTAAATTTTTAACTGAAATATTACATGCAGAGAAGTACCCAAAGCAGGAGTACAGCTCGATGACTTTTTACAAAGTGAACATAGTCATGGAATCAGCACCCATAACGAGAGGCAATATTACTTTTGGCTGTTTTTGTTCTTTATGTATGGAATCCTATAATGTGCACTCTTCAGGGTCTGGCTTCTTTCGTACAACATTAGATTTGTGAGATGCATCTATGTTGTGTATAGTTCATTCCTGTTCTTTGTATAGTGTTTCAACATAATGACTGTAGCAGTCTGTTTATGCATTTTACTCCGGATGGACAGTAAACATTTCCACCTTGGGGCTATTACAAATAGTGCTGCAATTAACATTCTTATACCTATCTTTTGGTGAACAAATGTCCACGTTTCCAAAGAGGAGAATTACTGGATTAGAGTGTGTGGACATTCACTCAGCTTTAGTGCATACTGGTAAAACATGGTTGTGCCAGTTTATACTCCTATCAGCAGTGGTTCCACACCCGTGCTAACTTTGTCATCTTCATTTTAGCCATTCTGATGATGTGTAGTGGTATTACTGTCTGGCTCCAATTTGCATTTCCCTGATGACTAATGTTGCTGAATACCTTTTCAAATGGTTTTTGGCCATTTGGACACCCTCTTTTATGAAGTTCAAGTCTGGCCCAAATTTCTAATGAGTTGTTTGCGTTCTTATTGGATTTCTTGGTGTTGGATTTCTCTCTATATTCCGAATGCCAGTCCTCTGTTGGGTGTATGTACTACAAAGATCTTGTACTCTGTGGCTTATTTTTCTCAACTTTCCAGTTTATTTTGTTGATTGTTTACTTCATCCCAAACCAGGAGATTCTAAAATTTAAACAAAAAGCCAACTTGAATATGTCACCATAAAAGCTACTTCTCTCACTTGCCCTACTTACCTGGTCTTCATCATTTCTGATGGTGAGTCTTACTAAATGCACAAATAAGAAGTACTCTTATGCTGTTTCACCTTCAGGTTCTAACCAATAAGAAGACAGCCTTCTTTGGTGGCAATTCTCTTTCTATGATCGATTACCTCATCTGGCCCTGGTTTGAACGGCTGGAAGTTCTGCAGTTAAATGAGTAAGATGTTTGAATATTTTGTGCATAATTTAGGATAATGATGAGTGGCATATTTTATGTTGACCTTTTTTTCTGAATAGAAGTGAAACAATTTTCTACAACTGGTATGAATGGGCAGAAGCAGAGGAGGAGAGTCTTGGACTACCCAGGGCATATACTCACCACACTTCTCCATTCCTAGAGCGTGTGGTGGAGGGGTGGGCCGAGAGTACTGCAACATGTAACAAAATGTTTTAAAATTAATTTACTCCTTCCCTTCTGGTTAAAACTCTATAAGGAAGTGCATTTTTATAAGCTCTGTCATCCAGGATTGTATGGCCAATGCTACCTCTCATTTACCAGCAGGATTCCCACACTCTTTTCCAGACTCTACGTTTTGAAGTTTGGCAGGCACTCCCAATCCTTAGAGTGCAGAGCTGTTCAGGGTTACCTTTAGTTACAGTCTGGCTGGAGAATAATAAATATATAACATCCATGGTTGTCTTTCATGTTCTCATTTTAAAAAGTGATTAGTCTGCCTGGACAAGTTCTCGTGCCTAACTGAGCAAGTCACTTCACTCTAAGATTCCGCTCCCATAAAACAAAGACCTCTAAAATATCTTCCAAATCTAATGTCCTGATTATGTGCGTTGTAAAGAAATATTTTAAAAGATTAGAGGAGAATAAAATGAAACTGCTGAGTGATAATGATACAGGAGACTCTGCAATGCCTTCCTAGTTAATCTAGCTCACGCCTTCGTTCTTTTTCCTTCCCACAGGTGTATAGACCACACTCCAAAACTTAAGCTCTGGATGGCAGCCATGAGGGAAGATCCTGCAGTATCCGCCCTCCTCATTGAGGCCAAGGCCCTTCGAGGTTTCTTAGATCTCTACTTGCAGAACAGCCCGGAGGCCTGTGACTATGGGCTCTGAAGGGGGCAGGAGTCAGCAATGAAGGGATGTCTGATATCTTCCTTCATGAATACGAGTAAAAACATGCTTTTATTCTACCAAGTGCTCTCACGTCTCATTGGATCACCTTCTCTGATTTGACATCATAGCTTAAGGACCTTAAGTCCCTCCTACAGGAATGTAAGCATATTTCCTGTTTCAGGATGCTCACATGGTTCTAAGGGTTTTATCATAGTTTATGCTGAAAATCTCTAAGTCATCATCTCTGGTGAGAACTGGACTTCAATCTAGATTTCTACCTGCCTATAGGACATTTCCACTTGGATATGCTGTTGTTTCAACAGCTGCCCTCTTAAGTTTTAAATTCCTCATTCTTTTGTTTCCATCAACTTAATTTCACTACCTTTTTTATTCCCATTGTCACCACTGAAGACCAGACTAATAACACCTCAAAGTTACGTGTCCTCCTACTTGGTCTCCCAGTCTTCAGTCTCAATGCCCTTCAAATTCTTCCTACCAATTCCCATGCCGGGCACATGGCAGGTGTCCCATAAATGTAACTAAATACTGTGAAAGGGCGCCTAGGTGTCTCAGTCGGTTATAAGCCTGATTTTGACTCAGGTCATAATCTTACAGTTACCGAGTTTAAGCCTCGCATCCAGCTGTGTGCTGACACCTCAAACCCTGGAGCCTGCTTTGGATTCTGTCTCCCTCTCTCTCTCTACTCTGCCCTTACTCATTCTCTCTCTCAAAAATAAACATTATTTTTTTTTTTAAATACTGTGAAGACCACATCTATCAATTCCGTTGTAAGTCTAGATGAGCAATTCAAAAATATTAATGCTACCTTCAATACGCTTCTATAGCTCACTGACCTCTCTACTTAATTTTTATATTACTTCCATTAGAAGAAGGGTAGGTCGAAGAGCATCATTTCATTCTAGACGGTTTCACTAAGATACCGAGGTTAAATGAGTCCTTAAGACGCTGGCAGAAGCATCGAGAACACCGCAAGCACACTGCTCGTACCATCAATATCAGGGAGCTGTCGACCTACCCCATTACAGTCTGGTTTTCGGTAAATATTCTTAAACGTAAGAGCGCATATTAATCACCTAAGGCTCACCGCTGAATTTCCGATTCGGTGGGTCCAGGGTGAGCTGCGAAGTCCACATGTGAAATGAGCTCCCCCCGCCCCATGATGATGCAGGCGATCGGGGGACCCCACCCTGAGAGGCTTGAGAACCGGTTGACTTCACAAAAGGCCTCCTGCCGCAAACCGTCGGCCGCCACCAACGCCCAAGCTCCGAGTGGACTCCTCTTTGCCGCCGTCCGTCTGCTCCCCCGCCCCTCCAGGCCCCGGTTTTCTGCGGGCGCACTTGAGTCGGATGTGGACCCTGGCTCTGAGGGGCCACTGCCAGCCGCTACCCGGCTTTTTCTTTTGCCAGCTACAGACACGGCGAGCGCCCACGGTTTCTGTATCCCGGAGCCTGTAACGCGGCCACCCATTGGCTCAGTTCCTCACTGCTTGGCTGTGGGGCTTTCAAAGGCTTTAAAGATTGGCTGGAATTTCAGGCGCCGCGGCCCGTTGGCGGGTAGGATCGCGTTCTAAGGGGCGGGTTCCGCCTGGGCCCCGCCTCCCTCCGCTGCGACCGCCCCCTGCTGCTGGCCCGGCTCCACAGCCGGTTCGGCCCGCCCGGCTCCCGGAGGACCCTCGGGGATGTTATTGTCTTATCACCTCCACCGGGTGGGTCTGTCCGATCTGCGGTGCATTGGAAGGGAGAAGGGGTTTGAGGTCAATAATGGATTTTGGGTTTTTCACGAATTTCGGGTTTGCCTAACACTCTTAAAAGAAAAACCCAACGACTTATCTTCATCAAAGTTTCATCAAAGATTCTAACGTCAAGAAGAGCACAAGCTCTATAATTTAAAGAACAGGTCTTTAAAGAGTATCCCTTTAACTTAAAGAACAACAACAACAACAACAACAACAACAACAAAAACCCGTCATTAAATTATTCTTATTTTTCTGATTTGGCTGGAGTAGGTAAAGATGACCCAAGATGAGGAATTCTTAGGCTTGCATTCGGCACCATTAAGTTAGCTACATCACAGGGCACTGGCTGCAGGCAAATTTGGTCCCTGGTTAAGTCTTCACTTTGTGGGGATTTATGGGACTTCCCTGCTACGTTCAAATACTAATAAAAGTAATAGCTAATGTTGAATGCTTACTATGTGTTAAATGCTTCTTAACCAGTATCTGAATTAATCCTCCCCAAGCCACAGAATGTGTTGGTACTATTAGCTCTAAATTATGGAGGGGGAACATCAGGGCATAGAAAGTTGTGTGTTTCCCAAGGTCACCAAGCTAGTAAATGCTAAAGAGGTGATTCAAATCCAGCCTGAACTCTTTACAGTCATTTAGAGCATTCTTGAGATAAGATTATACATTTGCTTCTGCCCTAGTCTCTATTCACTAGCATTTAGAGGTTGAGCCAGGAGAGGATTGTATCCACCTTTTGGACACACCACTATTATGTCTGGGATTTAACAGGAAGTGTTGATGTTCCTTTTTTCAAACTTAGTGTGTCTTGCTCAATTTTATAAATATTTGACTGGCTAATTTCAGGATCTTGAAAATCTACCTTTGCTCTTTCAAATGATATCATATTAAAGTGTTCAAAAATATTTTTCTTTGATCCCCCAAGCTGTAAGGAGAAAAAGGAATAGGAAAGCAGAATACAGTACTTAAAAAGAAAGTCTCCTTTGACTCAGGATTCCATAGTGGGATGATGAAGTTCTTCCTCTGATAACTTTAGTAATCTTATTTGATGTGTCCCAGTATTGTGTGTGTGTGTGTCTGTGAGTGTGTGTAGGAGGGTGTTGGGAGTGAAAAAAAGGTGGTGGGAAGGTACACACTTTCAGTTATAGGTAAGTTCTGGGGATGTAATGTACAATAGGATGAATATATGTAACACTGCTGTATAGTATATTTGAAAGTTGCTAAGAAAGTAGATCCTAAAAGATCTCCCTGGGTGGGCCTGTCCAGGTCTAGGGAGAATTTTTTTAATAACCGTATGAGGAGATGATGTTAACTAAATTTACTGAGGTAATCATTATGCAATTTATATAAGTCAAGTCATTATGCTTTGTGTCTTATACGAGTTGTATGTCAATCATATCTCAATAAAACTGAAACAAAAAAGTCCCAAAGGCATTAGAATACAGAATTCTCTATGATCCTAACTTCCTGGAAACAGTCCTGAGTTTAGGCCTATTTGAAAATAGAGCCTTTCCTCTTACTTACCTCATTCTTTGAACTTGGTGAACAACTTTTGAACATGCTGTAACGTATATTTTCAGGTAAATTAGGCTTCTGAAATGTCCTCCAGTTTTTGCCACTGTCAGAGATTGGTGTGACAAAAAAATTTTTTAACTGCAAAATGCAAACTCCACTTTCCTTTTCTCAAAACAGAAACTTGTGTAGTTAAATTATTTCTGTGGTGGCATTCTTTTCCTAGAAGGCTTGAGTAATTATCACCTATGACTGAAGTTTCCTATGTTTTCAAAACAGATCCAGTTCCATTTCAGGTAGCTAAAAATGATTTAGAGTAGGTTTCATATGGCTCTATTACCGTTTGTTTCTTGCTTGAGTGAATCAGTATAATAGTGGTATAAACATGATATAATAACATAAGGAGAATGTTTGCAAAGAGGATTTCAAAGAAGTACATATTGGTTCTTAGAAAAGAAGTAGGGATAAGCTTAAAGGTCATAATTAAAATCTTTGTAGGGAAACCATAGCATTCAGCGATAAGATTAAGAACCACACTACTGAAATGTAGCCTGCAGCATTCAACCCATTCAACTGGCATTAAATTGGTAGCTGGTAAAATAAGTATTTTGAGTTGAATTTTAATTCTGATGTGCTTGGCAAAGCAGAATTGTGGTACATTTTATCTTTATAGATACAAAATTGGAGTGCACTGTGCTATTAGACATGTGTTCTTATTCACTAATATTAGCCATTAATTTCCAAATACACTGAGCTCTTACTATACTGAGGATGTGCACAATTTCATTCAATATTCAAAACCTACCAAATAGGTACTATTAGTGTTCTCTTTTTACAGATGATGAAGATGAAGGTCCAAGAGGTTAGATACCTTCCCCAAGGGCCAAAGCCAGGGTTTAAATATAGTGCCAAATAAGAATCTTGACAATATATTGCTTCTGTTCAGAGGAAGAAATGTCTCCATAGTTCTATCTTTTCTAATTATACCAAATACACTCCCATTTTAGAATGTGGCTTCCAATACACAGGTATACTTTTAATAAATAATATCTTCCAACTCTTAAGTTGATTTTCCTTAAAAGTGGGAATGAGGAGAAAAACGTTGGAAATACATTCTCTTCTGGCATAGTAATAAGATGATTCAGGAACCTTTTACTTTACAAATGGAATTCCCAATTTATTATTAATTCAGTCACTGTCAGTATAGAGCAGGGATGGGCAAACTAAGGCCAGAAGGCCAAATCCAGTCCACTGCTGGTTTTTAACATTTATTTGATTTTGAGAGAGAAAGAAGGAGAGAGAGAGAATGAATTAGAGGCAGGCTCCAGGCTTCGAACTGTCAGCACAGGGCTCACCCACAAATCATGAGATCATGGCCTGAGCCCAAGTGGAAGGCTTAACTGACTAAGCCACCCAGGTGCCCCTCCACTGCTGGCTTTTGTACAGTCCAAGACCTAAGAATGGTTTTTACATTTTTACTTCTTTTTTTCAAGTTTATTTAATTATTTTGAGGGAGAGAGGCAGAGGTAGAGAGAATCCCAAGCAGGCTCCATGTTGTCAGTCCAGAGCCCAGTGCACTGGGCTTTCATGAACCATGAGATCATGACCTGAGCCAAAATCAAGAGTGGACACTTAACCAACTGAGGGACCCAGGTGCCTGGTTTTTACATTTGTAAATGGTTGAAAAGAAATCAAGAGAATTATCATAATATGTGCCATGTGAAAATTATATGATATTCACCAAGAGTGAGCCCTAATGAAAACTGTGGACTTTGGGTAATGATGTGTCAATGCAGGGTCATT